ACTTTGCGTACAGCTCGCAAACAAGAGGGCTCAGGACTCTTCGGTTATGGCGGGCGGGGGGGGGGGGGGGGGGGGGGGGGGGGCGCTGCGGAGGCGGGGCCTATCTTTAATTTACCTGGCAGGTATTTTCTTCTTGTATTCCAGGCACATGGCTTACATGCTCAGAGCGAAATTAAGGAGTCAGCTCTGGGCTGGCTTTTCAGGCTGTATACTGTCCTCTAGTGGTGCATCTCCAGGGCTTGTTAGGGGACTTGGCTCTCTGCTGGTTTAGATAACAGCTCCTTCCCCATTTAGGATTTTATCAAGGAGAAACCAAATTACACATACAAGGCACAAATGCAATGAAGCAGGCAGCCGGTCTGTAATTGCTTTATTAACATTAACTAGCATGCTTAGCAGATGAGTACAACTGAGATAACAGTTTGGTTTGGTCACTAGGCAAATGAGACATTTCTGAGACCTCCCAGGAGAGTGCCGTGTGGGGACTAGAACGGGTTGTGTCCTCTCTTCACAGAACCGTCACTGCAAGCAGCACAGGACATACTAGGAGCTTTCCCTGCTGCCCCACAGCCTCCTCACGGAAGAGGGGAGATGAAGGCAAACCCCAGAGGAAATTCTAGGGCAACTGCAGCCACACAGTACCTGGGAGGCCACAGGTAGGATGGCAGCCGGCGAACTGAACTGGGCCAGCAGCGCACAGCGTGGCGTACGGTGCTGCCAAACCTGGGCAACTGCGGGCTACAACTCAATTCGCATTTTCTTTACTCATGACACACGTTTAAGAAACTGTTACCTTATGCTGGTCCGCAGCCCAGTTTAGTCTCATCAGAAGATTTATTAGGTGGTCGTTTTGTTAGCTATTCTGTCACTTAAAACCTTATCTCATAACCCATATTTATGATTCAAAGGTGAAAGTTACTCTTGTAATACGGAGTTATGGCTTAACAGGAAAGTAGTTAACTGGCTTTGCTTTTAAAAAGAATAAAGCGCAACAATATAGATTTAAGTAATGGTTTGGCAATAAGCATAAATGAAAGGTAAAGAGGCCAGTCTTTACCTGCCCAAAGCCAACAGCTATTTTAATTCATTAAAATACACTTCACAGCCACTGTGATTTGTCTGGCACTGATTCCAAACATACTGAGCGGCTCATTCGGCTTTTCGCTCCGAGGTGCTCCTGGCACTGCCAGCTGATGGACCAGGATATCAGGCACCATGGATACCGCTGCACAAACAGCCTCCCCGATGCCACCTGGAGAAGCAAGGGACATTAGGCTCTGCTCTGGAAACAGCTAGTCAGCCTTAAATCCCCATCACATAGAGGCCTTTGAATTTGTGGTTCCCAGGGAAAAATATCTTTCACTGGCCGTTGATTCATAAACAACCATTCCCTGACTGACCAGAAGCATTCTCGTTCAAAAGTGCAGGTCTCCAAATTGCTCCCAGCCTCACTTACGGCAGGGGCTCTTTCCACTGGGGCTCCAGGGATGCAGGCGTCTGTGGAACTCAGATTCTCAAAGCTGTCAGGAACCTACGAACTGGATGCCGGCTTCGGAAGGGCCGGCTTGCAAGGCTGGCCCCAGGGTGGTGCCCGGGCAGTGGGCTGGTGCGAGTGCCCTGCATCAACAAGACACTTTCCCTACTGATAAGGGTGGTCCCTGTGCCTGGACTCTGGCACCACAGGGTGGTTTAGGGGGCGCACCTGCTTTCCTCTGGGAATCGGAAAGTTTGGCACGTGCCGGGCAGCGACCAGCCCTCAATGAAACCCGGGGCGCTGAGTCTCGAGTGGGCTCCCTGGGTCTCCAGGGAGGCATCTGTCACTGCCGGAGAAGGGAGAGTGCTCGGCTGGCCCCTCATGGGAGGGAGAGGGGAAGCCGAAGGTGTGGGGTTCTCCACCCCCAACCCGCGTCTTCTGTCCTTGGGGGTGCTGGTGCATGCCCTGTCCCTGTCATCAACTTCAGCCGGGAGGGCACTGGAGTGCTTTCCTGCAGGTCACGGGGTGTTCTTGGGGCCCCTGACACGCAAACACATGAAGCTCCCCACTCCCTCCTCTGCCCCACCTGACCTTCCCTAGCCAAACACTGCCCAGCCCCCTCTCCCTGGCCACACTTTTCCTGCGTTTGCTGTGTTCTCTGCTTGCAAGGCACCATTGCCATTTTTTTGTGGGGGGCAAACTATTAATCATTCAATACTCAAGAGCAACTGTGAAGCTTCTTATGACGCCTCCCCTCACAATGCCAAGTTAGACACTCCTCTGCACTGCCACTGAACCAGCTACCCGGGGACCAGGCACTGCACACTGTGCTGAGCACACACAAACGAGGATGGGCATGGCCCCACCCTTGGCCAGCCAGTGTAGGCGGGCAAGAGATCCTATACCCATACCGTCGCAAAGAGCGAGTAATACAGGTTGCTGGGTGAGTGGTTGGCTGGAGGTGCTGCCCACGATCATGGCACACCTCTGGTCAAGGAAAACAAAAACACGCTGCACCAAAGCAGACTTTCAAAGTGGTCCCCAAGGCCTGCACACACCTTCTGAAGAGTGATCCTCCACTGTGATAATCTGGCCACCTGTGGCTTTTGCGTTGGAGATGACGGTGGCTGCATCCAGGGGTTTAACAGTAAACAGGTCGATGACGCGGATAGAAATATCTGGAGAACAGAGATAACCAGCTTGGTGTATGAAGCAGACTCAGAATAAAAGACAGATTGGGGCACACAGGCAGCCCGAGTCCTACCACTCCCAGCTTGAACTTCAGCATTCAGCAACAACCAACTGACCTTCTTGCTTAGAAAGATCATCGGCGGCTGCTAAGGCTTCATGCAAAGTCACTCCAGCTCCAACAACTGTGAGCCTGTCGTTGACACTGTTGCGGACGACCTGGTGTTGCACCCACAAAACAAAAATGCTGTGCTTACTACACACAGAGTGTGTCTCAAAGTGGAGGACCCTCTGCTACAGTGCTCTCCTGAGCCTACCAATTTCACCCCTTAATAGCTCACTATAAAAAAGGCCGAGTCAGCACACTGACCAACAAGGACATATTCTTTTTAATAAGCCCCACTTCGTGTTTGTTTAACAAACTCACCTACTTTTCCTCAGGATTCAAGATGCCAAATTACTAAGTTCTTTTACAATATGTATGCAAAATGACCCTGTAGCAAAGCAGGTGGATTTCCAACTGGGATGTGAAAGGCTGAAGGCCGGAAGTGAGTTGTACAGCCCATCTGCTCCAGAGCATGGACTCACACCCACCAAGGGGTCTGAAAAGGCACCACCTCTGGACTGCTTGAACATCTTGTGGGGCACTCACACAGGATGGACTCCGATCATGAACATGCTAATGGGGACCATTTGGAGGCATTTTTGAGGTGCATGCCCAAGTGCCCTGTGAAGCCTGTGCATCAGTGGACCCCTTCTGTGGCTGTGGAAAGCAAATCTCAGAGCAGGAGGAACTCGCCCAGGGCAGGGCTGAGACCAGCAGCCAGGCCCATCTGCCTTCAAAGCCCATGCTCCCAACCACTCGCTATTCTGTAAGCAGACAGGGTTCTCTGCTCTTTTTTTCATCGTTTTGTTTCCTCCAAAGTCACCCAACCAAAGGCATCTGGAAGTCTGCATTGCATTCCTCTGTACAGCTTTTGCTGTAGCTTAAGAACCACTGCTGACTACAGATATTCAGGGCTTCAAACCACCCATCCCCATTCTTCGAGAATGTTCTAGCGTTTCACACACACACACACACACACACACACACACACACACACACACACAC